ACAGGTGGAGGTCTCCAGACAGTTCCACACAAAGCTCCTCCCACCAAGGGGACCTCAGGAAGGTCGAGACTCATTTCATGACCCCAGGATGGGTTTGGATCGTTCTCCTGGAGATCCAGACCCCATGGGGACGTCCCACCACAGGTGGGGGTCTCCAGGCAGCCCCACCCAGGAGACCCCAAGGAGGTGAAGGTCCACCTCGGGTCACCCCCCAGACCCGTACCGGCTGTTGAGGTGGTCCTGGCAGGACCGGACCTCGTCCGAGCTGGGGTGGCCACCATCCAGCAGCTGCTGCACCACCTGGTTGACGTCCAGGATGCGCCCCATGACGCTGTTCATCTCCTGGTCCAGGCTCTCGAACCTGCGCGGACGGACGCGGGCGGTTCCACCACGGCACGGGAGAACCTCGACGTCCACCCCCGCCCAACCCCGCCCCACCCCACCTGTGCTGGACCACCTCGACCTCATCCAGCTCCTCGGGCACCACCACCTTCTCCAACCACTGCTCCTTCTCGTCCACCCACACCTCGCAGGCGTGGAGCTCGCCGAACATGCGGTAGACGGCCAAGGCGTCGCGCAGCCACTGCGTCCTCAGCACGGCCACCTCGGCCACCTCGCCGTAGAGCTGCTCCACCTCCACCACGCGGATCTGGATGTCCACGCCCTGCCGGTGGCCCGGGCCCAGGAGAGACAGCTGCCGGCGCAGGGCCAGCACGGCGGCGCGGTTCTTCTCCACCTGCTCCACCACGGCGCGGTGCTGCCGCAGGAGGGCCTGGCTGGAGTGCTCGTCGTGGCCGAAGTCGTCGCTGGAGACCACGCGGTACGTGTCCTGCAGCCAGGCCACCAGGTCGTCCGTCTCGGCGCTGAACTGGAAGAAGTTCAGGGCGTCCTCCAAGCGTTGCTGGTGGAGCCCCGTCACCTCCTCCAGCTTCTTCCACCGCAGGCAGACTTCTCGCATCTTCTCCCGGACGCCCGCGGAGCTGAAGGACTTCTTGGCCAGGATCTTCTCGCCTTTCTTCATGCTCTGGTGCAGCAGCGCCCGGCGGTTGCCCAGCTCGCCCAGCATGGTCTTGTGCTTGTTGGTCAAGGTCACCACGCTGCTGAGGTCGCGGCCGCAGGTCTTGGCGGCCAGGATCTTCTCCTTCTCGCGGATCCAGGCCTCGGCCTCCTCCATCTCCTGGAAGAAGGTCCAGAGCTGGCGGGACTCCTCCAGCTCCTTCCTCCTCTTGGCCGCCAGCTCCTCCAGCTCCTCCAGGCACGTCTGGACGTGGTGGACGCGGTTGCAGATGATCTGGGGGTCGCAGGGTTGGTAGCCTGGGCCAGGAGAAGAAGCTTAGATGGTGGCAGGAGGTCTCCAGGACGTGGTGGGGTCACCGGCCACGAGGGTGTCCAAGGAAGGACCGGACGTGGCACGCTGGGCTGGTCCCGGGCTGTGCCCAAACATCTCAGAGGGCTTTTCCAAGCTCATGGGCTCTGTGGGCACTCTTGGAGGTGACCCATCAGGACCTTGGGGTGACCCTTCCCTGCTCCACCAAGACCTTGGGTTGACCCTCCCGTGGCCCACCAGGACTTTGGGTTGGCCTTTCCATCATCTACCAAAACTGCGGGTCAACCTTTCCATGGTCCACCAAGATCATGGACGGAGCCTCCCATGGTCCACCAAGATCATGGACGGAACCTCCCATGGTGCACCAAGATCATGGACTGAACCTCCCATGGTCCATCAAGACCCCGGCTGACCCTTCCATGGTCCATCAAGACCTTGGCTGACCTTTCCATGGTCCACCAAGACCCTGGCTGATCTTTCCATGGTCCACCAAGACCTTGGCTGACCCTTCCATGATCCACCAAGACCTTGGCTGACCTTTCCATGGTCCACCAAGACCCTGGCTGACCCTTCCATGGTCCACCAAGACCCTGGCTGACCCTTCCATGGTCCACCAAGACCTTGGCTGATCTTTCCATGGTCCACCAAGACCTTGACCCCCACCCTTGGTCACCCGCCCTGGTGGCCCCCGTTACCCTCCAGCTCGGAGAACTTCAGCGCGGCGGCGTTGAGGGCCTGGACGCGCTCGGTCTGGGCCGAGATGTCGGCCTCCAGCAGCCCGTGCTTCTGCAGGAGGTCCTCAACCTCCAGCAGATGCTTCCCCAAATCCTTGGAGACCAGAAGAACCTGGAGAAGAACCGAACCGCGTCAGCCGGCGCCGCGGGAACTTCGCCGCGCCGCCACGTCTTCTCCGTCCTCACCTGCATCTCCTCCATCCAGTCGATCATGTAGACCATCTCCTGGAAGATCTTCTGGAGGGCCAGGTTCTGCTCGAGGCGGGCGCGGCGGGCGCCGAGCAGCTCGGTCAGCAGCGCCCACTGGCGCAGGACGTTGTCCTTCCGGGCGCCGATGCGCCGCGCGTCGTGGTAGCCCTCGGACTCCATCTCCAGGGCCAGCTCCACCACCACCTGGATGCGCTCCTGGTACGAGGAGATGTCGGCCTCGATGGCCTCGTGCTTCTTCATGGCCGCCTCCACCGCCGGCAGGTCATAGCCGAAGTTGTCCTGAAGGGGAGGGAGATGGAGCGAGGTGCGGTGGGGTGGGGTCCTCAGAGGTCCAGGAGGACGTTGAGGAGGTGCCACCAGTCCACCATAACTGAGGAGGTCCATCCCTCTCTCCATGGTCAAGGAGGTTGAGGAGGTCCAACCCCCTCTCCATGGTCAAGGAGGTTGAGGAGGTCCAACCCCCTCTCCGTGGTCAAGGAGAAAGTTGAGGAGGTCCCACCAGTCCACCATGGTCAATGAGGAGGCCAAGGAGGTCCAACCCCCTCTCCGTGGTCAAGGAGGAGGTCGAGGAGGTCCCACCAGCCCTCCATGGTCACTGAGGAGGACAATGAGGTCCAACCCCCTCTCTGTGGTCAAGGAGGACATTGAGGAGGTACCACCAGTCCACCATAACCAAGGAGGTCCATCCCCCTTTCCGTGGTCAAGGAGGAGGTTGAGGAGGTCCCACCAGTCCACCATGGTCAATGAGGAGGTCGAGGAGGTCCCACCAGTCCACCATGGTCAATGAGGAGGCCAATGAGGTCCAACCCCCTCTCTGTGGTCAAGGAGGTCCCACCAGTCCACCATAACCAAGGAGGTCCAAACCCTTCTCCATGGTCAAGAAGGCCAATGAGGTCCAACCACCAGTCCTCCATGGTCAAGGAGGTCCCACCACTTCTCCATGGTCAATGAGGAGGACAATGAGGTCCAACGCCCTCTCCACGGTCAAGGAGGAGACCAAAGATGTCCAACCATCTCCCCCCCTTCAAGGAGGACTCCAATGAGTTCCCACCATCCCCGACGAGGTCCCACCACCCCACCCGGGGATTGTCCCAGCCCAAGCTGAAGGTCCTCCAGGAGCCCTCCCAGCCCGGCCCACCTGTGAGACCAGGCGCTGGTTCTCGTTGAGCCACGTCTCCCTCATGGTGGCCTTGTGGTCGAAGCGCTGGGCCAGCAGCTCCAGCTTCTCCTGCCGGATCAGCTCGTTCCTCAGGGCCACCTCCCGCTCGTGCTCCACCTTCTCCAGGCAGCTCCAGGCCTGGTGGGTGGGGACACGGGGCCGGTCACGGGGGTGCCCAGCCCCACCGGGGTGGTGGGACTCCATCTCCACGTCCCCACCTTGTTGATGTCGGAGATGCTCTTGCCCTCGCTGGGCACGTAGAGCTTGCGGTTGGTGGCCCGGAGTTTGCTCTGGATGGTGAAGAGCAGCACCTCGAGGTTCCCCTTCTCCTGGAACCTGGCGGGTGGCACCGGTGAGGAGGTCCCTGTCACCACTGCCACCTTCCAGGTCCCGCTGCCACCAGTTTGGGTCCAGCTGGGACCTCCTCAACACCACCACCACGAGGTGGGACTTCACCACCACCATCACCACCCTCCAGGTCTCACTGCCACCAGTTTGGGTCCAGCTGGAACCTCCCCAGCACCACCAGCATGAGGTGGGACCTCACCACCACCATCACCACCCTCCAGGTCTCACTGCCACCAGTTTGGGTCCAGCTGGGACCTCCTCATCACCACCACCACGAGGTGGGACCTCACCACCACCATCACCACCCTCCAGGTCCCGCTGCCACCAGT